TATAAAGAGAGAGAGAGGGAGAGTGTATGTAGAACATTTTGTACTTTGATAAATGTTGTCTTGGCTTACTTTTATAATAAATATAATATCTTTTACTGTGCACTTGTTTTATTGATACTTAAAATGTAATCAAATTGCATGTTATTATTTCTTAATAAAATAATTGTAATTTTGTATTCAGTTTTTGGTTCTCTTTCTTTTCAGTTACACACTTTGAAGAACCAACCAGGCTAGCAAGATGCCAAAAGCAGTGAGTAATTTTATGCTAACTTTGTTTTTTAATTAATAATGCTGGTCTTTAATGCAGTAGAATGATTAAATTATTTTATTGCTTTATTTTTGATATTTTTTTAATTAGAAATACATTTGATTTTGGTCTTTAAGTGTAAACTAGCTGCTAATGTTATCTGTGGTTGTTATATGGTAGGTGTTTTTATGTACTTATTAAGAAGATAGTTGAGGTTTGATAAATAAACGTGACCAATAATGTTTGATTCTGCTTGTGAGGATGAAAATGAGAGTTGAAAAAGAGCTTGACTAATTATACATGTACACTCCTCTTATTGATGTAATCAAGACTGGAAAGTTTGACTAACTGCATGAATGCATTTCTGTTAAATATGTAATTGAGATTTGAGGAGTTTAATGAATAATGTGAATGTACAAGTAATATAATTAATACTGGAAATAAAGATTAACTAAGATGAACTAAGGATGTAATTCAAGTAATAGAATGAACTTGATCAACAGGGTGTGTACACTTCAGTCGATGTGTTACACTGTTCTTGAGAATTTGACTAACAGCATGTGTATACCTTTATCAGTGATGTGAGTAATATTTGAGAAAGAACCTTAATAGTGTGTAATGTATTTGAGGTGAGAGAAGGGGTCAGGTAAACAGTGCATTGATACAATTCTGCTAAAAATGCACCTGAGTCTTGAAAAAATATTTTGGTCAACACAGTGTATGTTCTTTTTAAAGTTGTATTTTAGAATAAGCAAGAAATTTAACCAGTAATATATGTGTGCACTTCTATAAAGAACGTAAGACTTGAGAAGGGGCTTGATTAACAGTGTATGTATGTATATATATATATATATATATATATATATACACACACACACACACACATATATATATATATATATATATATACACACACACACACACACACACACACACACACACACACACACACACACACACAGTTATTTTAAGTATGTAATTGAGACATGAATGAGTTTGGCTAACAATATATATGCATTTATTTTATCAGTGTAATTGAGATGCGTAATAGTTTGGCTAACTCAAAATGGACAATTGTTAAGGAAGTACCCGAGTCTTGGGAAGGAACAGATGTTTGGTTACATCAGCTATTACATAATGAACTTGTTCCTAATGATTTCTTTTTGTTGCTTACACAAGGTAATAACAAATGAGCCCAATTGACAAAAAATATATAAAAAAATCTGATTTATAAGCTACAAAGCTATTGCAATGAATAGATAGATATTGAGCTTACAGTGACTTTTTAAATGTTTTATGCAATCTATTCTTTGCCAGCAGTGCATTTTATACTTCACAGTGAAGCCTTTTATATTCAAAAACTAAAAACACAGCTTGTTTTCAATTTGAGAGTCTTCCGAACTGTTATGGAAAAGTATGATTTTTGTTTAAAGTTTTAGAACAGTTTTTTAAATATTATTTTATGTGTATGTTTGATATCACTTTCGTTGAAGTTGTAAATACTTGACAGGTCTTGAAAGTTTTGGAATAGTATGCCATATGATACCATTGGCTTTGCATTGTTGACTTAAATTGCATTTAAATTTTTGAGTTAATTTCTCACATTGTTTTTATTTGTAAATGGTTTTGGATTGACCGTTGCAATTTGTTATGGCAAATTTAACTGTGCATCCATGCAGATGCAGTTTGACTGCCTTTATAACCATGAAACTATATATGTATCATAACTCTGAATGTACAAAAAATTTGTAAAGCTTTTAGTAACTATTACAAGTATGTTCACACAAAAATCAGATTTTTTAATAAAATATTTTTACTATAGACTTGTTTATGAATTTACAAAGTCTTTAGTGAATCAGTCTGAGTTAAAGGTGATTTTAATGCTAAAATTAGAAATACTTCTTTTCATCGTACAGTTTCATATTTAATTTGTGTAACTTCATTAACCTCCTTAATGAACATCACAAGTTGTTTTTTCATTAAAACTACGTTTTCTCTGTTACTTTCTCTGCCCTAACACTAATTGTAGCAAAATCATTAATGTACAGTGAAATGAAAAGATGAACAAATATGAAATTAAATCAATAATACCATTTGTTCATCATTTTCTTCTATTCACAATTTCAACTTTTAATTTTTCACTTTTATTTTCATTTAATTTTATGGTTCTATTGCCTAGCTTGTACCATGTAAGCTCAATTAGGCTATTTTTCTGTGTAAACACATCATAGTTGGAACACATTAGCAGGTTCTTGTACACTGATATACTGCATGGCGTGAAATTAAGCATTAAAATGTGTAGATAAGTAGGCTTAGTTTTTGCTCTAAATTTGTTGTCAAATAAATATTCATGTACTTTTCAAATATGCATTTCAGAACACACAAAATATATCACTCACTAAAATAGAATATCTAAAATTTACTCTCATACAAGACTTTCTTACTAAGCTACAAATAGGGTAAAAAATTTTCTTGTATATACACACACACACCTCACTTCCGTGATTAATATCTATTGCCATTAACTTAAAACTTGGTTGCAAACTTAAGATAGAAAAAAAAGCTCTTTCTATTGGATGTAAACAGATATATTAAATAAAAACATGATTTTTAAAACTGCCTTAAATTAAGGATAGATGGGTGAGGCTTCTGTCATGTATTGGAAAATGTATTGATATTTCAACAAAAAAGAAGTTGAAACTGTACACTGACCATGTCGTTTTTTATAGCTTGTGTTTATATAGGTTAGACACTGTAGAGGCAATATGTTTGAAGTTATACAAACTAAAAGGGGAGAATGGAGAAATAATGCACACCACATGACAACAGAAGTCAGAATTGAGATTTGTTTTGAAATTAAGAAATTAAAAGTTACATAATAAAAATTTGAATTATAAACTATGTTCTGATGTTGAGTTTGTTGATATCTGTTGATGATGAAATTGTTTAAAACTTTTGCTGTGGGTATCTTTTTCTGCAAAAGTCACAAGGATTTAGTGGGTTACATTCAAAATTTGTTGAAAGTACTTTATTATCATGATATATGAATAAATGTGGCATCAAAATGTAACTAATGATCCAAATTTTAATATTATATAACTTTTAAGTTCTTAATTTTATAGGACAATATTAAAAATAAATCATCAATTTCCCCTTGTATGAGAATTGTGACACTTGTTCTCTAGGTATTCCTTCTTCTCTAACTTATATATCAACCCTCCAAGTACTACAGAATTTAATGCAAATTACTTATTATAATATTGATATTGCTCAGGTGAAGCATAATTTTTATAGCCTTCAGTCTTATTTGGTTATAGAGCCATAAACTAGAAAATCAGACCCACTTATGATACCCACTTGTCACATCCCCTCTTTCACAAATTTTCAATAGTTCACTCTGATGTTTAATACTATATTATTTATAAGAAATATAAAGCCAAGGTTTTAATCTAGCAAATGATGTATTATATTTAATTTTTTGTACATATAATTGTCTATTTCATTTCTAGTTCAAACTTAATTCTCATGGGAATCATATTGATGAGAATTTTTAATGGCTCTTGTCACATCGTTAACAAGCCAGAAAAATTTATGGGATATATGTAGAATTATACACAGACTTTTTTCTTCTTCAAAAATGTAGAGAAAAGTCCGTGTATAATTCTACATATTAATTTACCTACGTTGCGAGTCTTAAACAACAGTTATAATTATGGGACATTGTCTACTTTTTTGCATGTCAGTATTTTATGTTCTTTGGTGCATTATTTAGTTCAATAAAAAGAAATTAGTGCATTAGTGTAAAAAAGTAGGGTTACTTTTTTAGGGTTACAGGTAAGTACTTGTTTTTGTATATGTATTCTTTATTTAGTATTATAAAAGTGACTAAAATCTAAAAATTAGAAATTTCTTAGGTTGGATAAAGTTATATTAGGTAAGATAAAGAATATTAATAATTTTTCACAAGGTTTGCTTGTGAAGATAATTGTGAGTAGGCCCTACATTATGCTATTTGATAAGGTAACATGAGCTGAACTTTCCTCAAGTCACTTACAACTTCTGTGGCAAGAATATTAGTTAGATAGGGCAATAAAACAATAACGTATAAGTATAAATAGATGTATACTGTTAAGAGTTTAATGCTATTTAGGAGAAACAAATGTAGTTTCCTGTTACAATTTGAAGTCATTCTAGAAAGAAAAAAGGTAATTCAGATTTTTTTTGGTGGTTATAAGGTTGGTTAAATTGAACAATCTTGTATAGAGTTAGGGTAGAGAAAATAACAGATAAAATATAAAGTTTAACTAAAAACAAAGATTTTAAATGTATTTAGGAGGTTTTTAGAGATTACACAAATGAAATTTGAGGTTTTTCAGATGAAGAAAAGTATTTCTAATGTTAACGTGAAAATCACTTTGCACTTGGAGCAGTCAACATTTTGGATTCATATATTCATGCAGAAATTGTTTGTGAAAATATTTCATTAAATTTCTGATTTTTTTTTGTCTACTAATGGTTCTTAATGCTTACTGAAAGCTTGTGAAATTTCATGAAGATAAACAAAACATTAGAAGTTATAATATGGAAATTATAAAGGTAAATTTGGGTTCATGAACTTGGCCAATTCAGCTGAGCCCATAGCAAGAGAGTTAATTAAATTTTGAATGTAACTTTGTAAAATGTTGTGATATGTACAAAAGAACCAGGACCAAATGCGTAGTATTAAGTGGTGTATCAAATAGAATTATAATAATGAAGGATACTATGAAATTAAAGAGAAAAATTATGAAATAGTGAAATATGCTCTAACAGTAAATACATTTTCATTGTATATTTATTACTTTTTTTTTGGTAAATGCAATTTTAAACTTAGTACTTTTTTTGTTTCCAGTTTGTCCTTTTTGGAACTGAAATCAAACAGAATCATAGCTGGCTTTTTATAATAATCTCATTATAGGTAAATGTTCGAGTTACTACTATGGATGCAGAGTTAGAGTTTGCCATTCAACCCAACACAACAGGGAAACAACTTTTTGATCAGGTAAGGAAGTGAAAACACTTTTAACAAATACATAGTTAAACCAAAAAGTCAACAAGAGTTTCAGAACACTGAGATTCACAGAGAAAGAGAGAAAATAAGAACAAGAAATTAAAAGATAAAACTTTTGTGTAGGTTATATATTTTATATTTTCTTTTCTGGCACATTTAAAAAAAGTTTTTTGGCACAATGAAAGATGAAATCTTTATTAAACATTTCAGCTGACTAATGTCAGTAACGTAGTTACAAAAATTGGTTGTCTAAAAGTTTTAATAAAAATTTTATATTTCAGTGTGCCAAAAACATTGGTTTTGTTTTTACTCCTAATATATGTTTTATTGATACTTTTTTCTGTGTGTTTATTCGAGACATATGCCTTTGTATGGTTACATATGGATGCCTTTTTGTTTTGTGAGAAGTGTAAATATATAATCTTATCTCAGTGCCTTCATGTTTAGGCATTTTTGCATCATTTACTAGCTGTTTATATTAGATCGTCAAGAAATTAATGTCGGTTTTTTTAGACAAGAAAATCCAAACTACTTATATATCGAAACAAAACATTTATTAAATGAAATAGTCACTATTCTTATTGATGATGCTTTTCCATTATACAATCTGCTTGTTAATGCCCTTGGCTTTGAAGCAAAAAACAAGTCGATGTCCGCTTTAACACCTTCCACATTTGCCTATGTTTTTCCATTATGATGGTGTTGCAGCAATATTGCAACCACTAGGAAATTCGTTAAATACATCTATCACTATATGCTTATCACTAACTAACACAAACACACTCTGTATATTGCTCGGTAGTTTCTTCATTCTCACGCTCTTCACCACTTTTGTCAGTGTGGTTCTATAGTCCACTTATTGCAGTTGCTATAATTGCTTTTACTATACTTGAAAAAGACACCGCAAGACAATTGATATACTATACAGCTACACCTGGCTGTTGAACAAGGTTGTTCACTTGTACACCCAAAGTATTTTGGGTAGAGCTATTGGCTTTTCAATTGATAACAAGAACAAGAGTTTCTGTCAATATGTCATGCTCCCATTCAAACTCAGTTGGATCAAGATCTTGGGGATTTTCATTTAATTCATGCCATCCATATACATGCCTAAAGATGAGCTCTCTTGGCATTTTCAGCAAGGGCATCTGGTGTGGTTAGAAGAGCCTTTGGTTTTGTACCAGCCTTCATTGTTTTTCTGGAAGTTTTCCTTAACTAGTCATCATAATGTATGTCATACATGTTGGTATGAGTTGACTTACTTCCATAGCATGTGGCTACAAATGAAGTTGCTTCTCTAATGATTTCATTCATGTCTGCATTAGGATCTTCAAAATGATCTAGTTTGTAGCCTACTGACAGTACTTTGACAACAGTTGATTTTAATATTCCTTACATGTATGCAGTTGAATCACACCAGAAATGACATGATACTTTGCGATCTGTGAGTGTTTACATGCAGTTAGCCTAATGTCGGTGACTGTATGCTGTGCATGATATGGTTGCATCAGAAGTGTACAAGTGAGACTGTTGGTCAGGTAGTGATGCAAACAACAACACAAAGACACCTGTATCTTTTGAAATCACATTAACTCTCTTGCAATGAGCATCATTTTGTGCTCGTGTCACAAGGTTTTAGTGAGTTACATTTAAAATTTAATTAAACCACTTTCTTATCATGGTATACCAAAAAGTATACCATAAAAACATAGCTGATTATCTATATTTTATTAGTTTATAAGCTTATGTTCTTTACTTTATAAGGCAATATTAGAAAAAATTATGTATGTTTGAGAATTGTGGAATTTTCTCTCTATGCATCCCCTGTTCTCAGTTATTTACCACCACTTCAAGAAATACAAACTTTAACATAAATTACTCATTATAATCTTGTCATTGCTCAGGCAAGACATAATTTTTATATTCTTCAATTTTATTTGGTTACAGAGCCATAAAATAGAAAATGAGACCCCTCTTCCATGGCCACCTATCACATCCTTTCTTTTAGAAATTGACAATAATTCTCTGTGATGTTCAAGAGCATATTATTTATAATACATCTTAGTTACTAAGCTTGATAAATTATAGTGGAATTCTATGGTATTAATGTAGTAATTTATGATTTTTTAGTTATTCAAATGGATATATAAAACATAAAGGAAATTTTTTGTTTAATATCCTCTATGTGCAAAATTTTTAAAGGCTTAGCAACCTTTGTCAAGCAGCAACCTAGTACAAAGGTCGTAACTAGAAGAGATAGTTGTTTGCTTTACTTCTTTAGTTACTGTTCTATGTTTAAAGACAAATAAGTTTAAGAACTTATTTCAAGATATCAATAATTGATATACATATATAATGTATAATAATTGAAATGTGGCTGTATTTTACAAAATACTAGTCTGCTAAAACAAAGCCAAGACCAAAGGTCAGTTTTATGTTATTTGATACGGTAACATGAGTGCATGTGAGCCGCATCATTGTAACTTCTGTATTGTTAGCCAGGCACGGCTGAAAGGTCAATATAATAAAAATAAGAAATATATATAAATGTATAATGTTATGAGATTTAAGCTATTTCGTCTAAACATTTATGTTTTTCGTGTTCTAATTTGTGTTCATTCTAGAATGAAAGAGGCATAACTTATCTTTATTTCCTAATTTTTCATGGTAGTTACGAGATCAGTCAAATCTACCGAACCCGTATAGAGATTAATTACTGAAAATAACAGATAAAATGTACAGTTTTTTTCTTAAGAAATGTTTGATAACTATTTGGACACTATAAATATTTTGCATGTGAAATTTCAAAATTTTGTGATGCATAAAAGTATTTTTAATCTTAAAATGAATATTATTTTGCATAATAGATATGCAACATGTGCAAAAAAGAAAAAAAAAGACATGAGAAAAACGTTGCTTTACAAACCATAAGATTTAATAAAAAATCTGATATTTGAAAGCATTGTAATGTTTACTAATAATCTGCCAAATTTCGTTAATATTCACTTACTAATTTAAAAGCTATAGCATGAAACTAATGAGCACAAGACAGTTACAAGGTCAGTCCCAGGGATCGAGCCTGTGCTGAAAGACTTGGCTATTTTATCTTTGATTTATTTAGGTTACTTTAGGACTATATGGTGAATAATGATTAACCCAGAGTACTATATTGCTATGGTGGAAGCATCTTCTTTCATGTAAAAAAGTACTGAAAATTTGATTACTGTGTTATACAGCTAATTTTTAAAAGGATTTACAATACCATCATTGTAAAAATGAAATATTACTGTAGCTACCATGGGAAAGTTAACAGTTGTTACTTGTTAATACACTAATATTATCTCAACAGACTTTCTTGTTTTATTGTTTTTCATTTTCTAATGGTTTTGAAACAATGAAGTTAGAGTTATCATAAGTTTTATTTCACAAAATAAATTAATGTTACTGTATTTTTTACATTTTTTAATGTTTGACTTTAAGTTGTACTAGGTTTTTACTTTGCCTTGAGTACACATTTGCCAAATAAGTAAAATGAGATATGATTATTCTTTTCATTTGTTGGTTAAAAAGGAATTGATTAACTACTTAGTTACAGATACAATACGTAAGGCTCCAAACTTGTAAGCACACTTATGAATATATAAAACAATACTGCATGGAATAAAAAGTCTGGAAAAGCATACAAAGTTTTTGCAATAAGTGACTGATAACTGATTAAGTCTTTCATGTTTTGAAAAGATTAAACAATGCAATTGGATTGTGTGTATATGTTTTTGTTTACAACTTTTTTGCCATTTTATAGTTTTTTTGAGGTTCAAATTTTATATATTAAGTTAACTGTATTTCAATAATTTTAACTTCAGAATATTTTAGAATCTATATTTTGTAATTCATGAAGAAAAATTAAAAATTCTTATTTTCATTTCTGTACAGCTGTGAAAAGTTTAACTTGGAACCAACAGACTTTAAGTTTTCTTTAGAATTTTTTATTCATCCCTTGAGAATATATTACTCATTTCTTGATTTTCGAGTATTTCCTATAGTTTTTGTACAGACCTTGGTTGCCATCTTGTTTTTGTTACCACATCAAATGGTTTGATCATTTAATAATGAAACGGCTATAAAGAAAGTTTAATTATTACTGTATCGACCAAGAATTAGACTAATTAGGCTATCATGTACTAGTAAAATAAATACTTAGGTTTAATAGTTTTTAATAGTTTCTGTAAATGTTTCTTTTGTTTGTGAATGGTGAAAATATTTGTGCTTTAAGTTATATCTGTTTGAAAGTATAGAAAGTTTCCTCAACAAGAAGAAAATGGATAACTTAGATAAAGTAAGCTTATATCATTTAGAGCTGGGTTGAGTGGGTAACAAAGAAAAAGTATTAAAAGTATAACTTGTACACTATTTCTGTACTTTGACATCCATATCTTGACTGGACATATAATGGCAGTAGTAGTTAACTCCATACAATGTAGTCACTATCAGTTGAATTTCTTTGCATTATCTATTTTTATTTTTTTTCATATTTTATGACAGTCTATTTATACTGCTGAGTATTGATATGAAGAGGCCATCTAAACTGGAGTTAGTGGCTAGACTGTGTACACAGTAATTGTTGTCTGTTTCCAGTGGTCAAGATATATATATATCACACACACAATTTTTGTTTACCTGCACATTCACCAAAGGTACTTTTTAAAATTCTGTAACATGACCACTGCTACTTACATTTTATTGATTTTTTTAATACTTTATTTATTTTATTGTCAAAATATTTCAAATTTATTTTTAAAGAAACCAGTTACTGAATTCAGTCAAAAGCTGGAAACTGGTATCATCCAATTTCCCCAAAAAATTACTTTGAGTTTTATACTTACATATTGCTTTACATTTTCACCAGATGTGGTTGTGGTCAGCTATGTCAAAGTTACAACTCTTATGAATCTTTTGAATTAAGTATAGGTTAGGTCAGTGGTAGTAAGTTCATAGAAGCGAACAATTTCATGGTCAAAAAAAAATTCTAGTTCTCCATATAAAATATCTTTTATTTTTATAAGCTTATATTAAAAATTGCTTTCATTTTTAAATTTCTCTACTATATGTTAGATATAGTTGAAATACAAACAAATGTTCAAGAACATCAGACCACACACTCATTTTAGCAAATTGCTGTAAATTACAAAACCATTATTATTTTTTCAACTAGTGCTTTTGGTAGTTTATATTAGGATCTTTGCATGAAAACAAAAATGTAGTAATTTAAACACCTTTGGCAGTACAACATGAACTCTGAAATTTAACAAAATAATTCAAACTTGCACTTAAAGAATATCAGTGGAAAAAATGGCAAAGACAATGAAATTATGAAGAACGCAAAGTATTAGACAAGCAGAGTTGTTTTTAAACATTTATTAATTTATACTTTTGAAGTCCGTGTTACATTAGATTATTTGTGTCACAACTTCTTTATGTTTATTGCATCTCCCAAAAATCATTTTAAATGGAAAACTATTTTTTTTGTATAATAGTATAACAGATATATTCTGTGTTTTGTTCAAAAATCTGTTTTTTCATTTTTAATAAACCTTTGGCTCTTTTATTTTATTTTTTTAGTTATAAACCCAACATTTGTGTTTTATGCAGTTTTATGCCAAATATTTTTTTCACCGAATTCAGGTATATTGTTATAATTATTTTACTTTTACATTTTTTATTTAGGTGGTTAAAACAATTGGGTTGCGAGAAATTTGGTTTTTTGGTCTTCAGTATACAGATAACAAGGAATTTCAGACATGGTTGAAACTGAACAAAAAGGTATGTGTATTATTTACAAAGTTAAGTTTAATAAATTAGATGTTTTCTTTTATTTTGTTTTCCAGGAATAATCTTCACATATAATGAATGAAAAAGTAGTTATTAGTTTTAGAAATTACAAAGGAAATAAAATCAAAGGTTCTTCTCAATAAAGGTAGAAAATTTGACCACATATTCTTCTTTCTTTATACTGATTTTAGCCTTATATCTGTATTTTCAGGCTTTGTCGAAGTTGGTTATTAGTATCAACTGAACTTGCTATATCTGTTTGTGATTTAAAATTCTCCATTGATTTTTAAGGTCTTCATCATTTTCATATAAAATACACAAAAATAAAATATGAATGTAAGGGAAGTTAAATACATAATGATTAAACACACACACACACACACATTGGTATGTAAATGTAGAAATAAATTTGTTATAAATAATTTGCTACCTTTGTAGACTGATATTGAAACAACTAATCATTTCTCTATTAAAAATTAATATTCATTCTTTACCAATTGTAGAAACCTCGCATAACCATAACGAGCAATTAAAATTATTTGTTTATAGTTTCATTCTAGACTGTTGGGTATTATTTCATAACCTTAGCACTGAATGTGAATAAAGTTATTAACCTAAAATCTAAAATAAATAAAACTGTGTGGTTTACAGGTTTTTTTTGTTCTTTAATACTTTTAATTTGGTCTTGCTTTGTTATTTTATATAAGAATTTTCTGTGTATTTTATCCTCAGTTTTTTTTGTTGTTGAGTATTATTTCAATGGTCTGTAAGTGAGTGAAATGCTACTAAAACACTGAAGATTAATGACATGAACATCACTTTTGTTCAGGCTTAAAATAATATGATGATTGATTCTCACAAATTGCACAAACTGATAATCCATGTCATGCTAGTATAACTGATGTGAACAATAAAGTAAAATTGTATCTCCTTTAAGTTCTTGATTGTTTCTTCCTATTGAACAATAAAGTAAAATTGTATCTCCCTTAAGTACTTGATTGTTTCTTCCTATTGAACAATAAAGTAAAATTGTATCTCCCTTAAGTACTTGATTGTTTCTTCCTATTGAATTAATAAGTAAAATTGTTTCTCCTTTAAGTACTTGATTGTTTCTTCCTGTTGAACAAATAAATAAAATTGTATCTCTCTTAAGTACTTGATTGTTTCTTCCTATTGAATAATAAAGTAAAATTGTATCTCTCTTAAGTACTTGATTGTTTCTTCCTATTGAACAATAAAGTAAAATTGTTTCTTCCTTAAGTACTTGATTGTTTCTTTCTATTGAATAATAAAGTAAAATTGTATCTCCCTTAAGTACTTGATTGTTTTTTTCTATTGAATAATAAAGTAAAATTGTATCTCCCTTAAGTACTTGATTGTTTCTTCCTATTGAACAATAAAGTAAAATTGTATCTCTCTTAAGTACTTGATTGTTTCTTCCTATTGAACAAATAAGTAAAATTGTTTCTCCTTTAAGTACTTGATTGTTTCTTCCTTTTACTTTATTGTTCAATATTGTATCTCTCTTAATTTCTTGATTGTTTCTTCCTATTGAACAATAAAGTAAAATTGTTTCTCCTTTAAGTACTTGATTGTTTCTTCCTACTGAAAAATAAGTAAAATTGTATCTCTCCTAAGTACTTGATCACTTCTGCCTATTGCCTGCCTGGAAACTCCAAGATTTTCATTGTGCACTAAGTCTTATGATTCATGAAATTGGTTCATCATTATAAAGCTGATGTTTGAGGCTGTAACTTTGTAATGATAAGGTTGGTAACTGAATAGCAAGCACAACAGTGAAGTTAATAAACAGGTTAGCACACATGTGTTAGGCAGTATTTATCCAAACCTGGCATTATTTAAATAGGTGTCCAATAAAATGTTGAATTTGTTAGAAAAGTAGTTCAGTACTTAAACTTTCTTTATTAGGTGCATCATTGTTATTATAACACTTAACTTTTTTATTATCAGCCAACCCTTGACTGACACACATCTAAATTAAAATAGTTCTGATCATGCTGGACTTACTGGTGTATTACCATTTGCATTGTGCTAATCATGGAACAGTGTTATTTAAAGCACAATGTATGTGCACTTCTGTTGATATTATCTTGTGGTAAATTTCCAAGTTATATGAGCTTGTTATATAAGTCACCAAGTTTCCTTCTAAAGAGTTCTCACTTTTAAGCAATTTCAAATTCTTAAATTTTTTCAGTATTTAATTCAAGCTCTTTCAAGGTTTTCACTGATCCGTACGAACCCCATAATTAGTTATGAAAAGCTCAGTAAGACTAGCTAGTCTCAGAACAAGCGTACTAAACTAATGATTCATTACAATCTAATCATGATAGGTTATACTTCTCTGTTGTATTGATTTATAATGCTGAAGTTTTTCTAGTTATTGTTTGTTATGTCCAGTTGCTTCATTAATGTAAACATTAATTGAATATATATATATTTTAGCTACTTTTCCTAGAATTTCTTAATCAACTAGCCATAATTACTTTTAATGTATCTAAGTTAATACCAGCAAAGCTCGTATATACTTTAATAAGTATAAAGTCAATTTATAATTATATAGTTAGTTTACTTTTGTCCAGAGGCTTTGAATAAGCTGAAAAAAAATGAATATTTGGAGGGTTTTTTGTTTCGATGTAAAAGAAGTAAATATATTTGATTAAAACACTTCTGTGTCCATGTATTATAAGGTTACGAATTAAGAAATGAACATCACTAGTTGTGACAAAGTTTGAGGTTATTATTTTTTTTGTGATACTAGTCTAAGGATTATGCTAATTAAAGGTGATAGATATCATTAGAAAACTTTCATTGTTTCTGGGTGTTCTCCAGAATCTTTAACAACTGAAGTCTTGTATTCCTTCAGTATAGATTGATTTACACCACCTTTGTATGGTTAATTGGGCTTTACAGTGAGATGGAAGAGTTGATTTCAGTTTGATTTGATATCTAATTTTTTTATTAGTATAATGTTTATGATTTTATGCAATATTCATATGTGAATCTTTTAACACAATGTACTGTGCTATTTTATTATGTGTGCCTATACATAAATATTTATATCTTAAGAAAATATTGATTCTTTATAAACTGTTTCAAAGTTAAAGAAAAAGGTTTTACAGGAGGCATATGGTTAATAGACTAACACAAACATTTGTTGTTCCAAGAGTTTGTTGAATAAGTATATCTTTGATATTTAACAAAATTGTGACAATTCCTTTTTCTGAAAGATTATTATGAGAAAGAATTTAAACAGGAAAAAGTACATTGTATTGAGCAAAGATAAATAAATTTATAAATGAACTTGTTTGGAACATTTGTAGCAATTACTTGGGGAGTCTTAAAAGTTTTTTAGAAATTTAGGTATCTGACTTAAGTTAGATATTAAAGTGTTTAAATTGAACTTAAGTACTAAGCAAATTATTTCAATTTTTAGGAGATATTTGTGTTTTATGTTACATTAAGCACATCAAAAACTTTTTCTTTTTTTTCCTGCTTTCTTGGTGTATTCTGTGGACTTTATGGTCAGGTAATTTTTGGTAATAACTGTGAAAAAATTGTGAAAAGATGTTTTCTCAGGAAAAGAGATGAGTCAGAATCGGTAAGGTTAAGTTTCCATTAAATGTAGAGCATACATTTTATGCATTTATGATATAGAGAAAGTATAAGTATTTAGTGTGTCTGTATTAATTTTTAAAAAGAAAAGCTTTTAGATATAAGCACTGAGATAAAATTAGAAGTAACCAGTTGTGCATTATACATTATTTACTTGTTGAAGTTGCACTATTTTAAATATAGAATAATATGTTTATTATGCCTAACTAAGTATTAGTATCGATCAGATATGCAAGCTTTATATATGTCTTACCAGAATGGTCTCTATCAGTCTTAAAGTATTTATATAAGCTTAAATGTGACAGAAGATCTTGGGAGTGAATTGTATTTTTCTTGCTTACATATGTAAAAATAATACTTATTAGTAACTATTGCTGTTGGCATTGTTAGTAAGTTCAGTGTAAGTGTATTGAATTATACCTCACCTTGTGGTAGTTTGTACCACCAGTGTACTACTACAGTGTTCACAATTTTAAATATTAACAATGATATGATCTTGTTAGATGCATTAATATTTGTGTTAAAATTTTTAGTAATTAGTAAAACTTGCGATTTTAAAAATGTAATATGTTAAGATTCATTTTTTAAGAATATTGAATGATTTCATTTTGTTGTTCAACATAGAATTTATGATCCTCCTGATAAGTTGTTGTGTTATACTTCCATGTAGGTGTTCTTTCATTCTGATTATCTGTGGAAGTTCATGCTTCACAAAAAAATGTTGTAGTTATCAGTTTTAGGTGTTAGCTAAATTCTCCATGTTATTGCCATATATTTATATCTTGTTCAACATTTATAAGAAAATTGTACTTAATCTGAGTTATCATCATGATTAGGTTAGATAATATTTAATGTTTTAATTGATATCACTTCAGCAGTGAAAAGTAATCATAAAGATTTTTGTACAATTGTATTAAGAAGCAAACCAAAAACGGCTTTTGAAATTTTTCGACAATTCTTGTTTCCTTTTTGTGTTTACGTAAATGAAATATGCCGTGTAACTTTTATAAATGTTGTAGTGTTATATTTCATAACAACTTGAGCTATTATTTTGAAGCTTATTGTCCACAAAGTTTAACGAACGAGTTTCTGACAGAATGTTTAGAAAAATACTAAAAAAATTAATCACTTGATACTGGTAATTTTTCATAGTAAAAATGTATTATTCACGATGAAATTGTACTCTACAATTAAGAGTGTAGCAGAAGTAGCTGGTATGTGTTACATTAATCATTAAAAAAGGGTTTATTACTTAATTTTGAGGTAAACATCCAAACCTACAGTTTCCAAATATTTCACAGTTTTTCTTATTGAACTATACTTATGGTTGAATTTTAAGATGGATTTACTTTTTTATTTTTTTTTGTATATAATAAATTGTAGTTGATATATCTTTGCTTGTTAGTTAAAATATCCCAGTTGACACAGAATATTTGTGAGTAATTTCAATAAGTAGTATAATAAAATTTATAGATTATGCCTACAGTTAGTTTGTGATTTATTGCTAACAGTGGAGCCCTTTTGATTGTAATAATACATTATCTGTAATAATGACAACAAACAGTTTAATGTGGTAAAACTTTTCTTTTGTAAGTGGAAAAACTGAATTTTTGTTCTGTGTGTGACCTTGCTTTAAAAAGCAACTGTTTGTAGTGGTTGCTATGGAAATTGTAATTCACATAGAACTGCATAATTGGTTCACAAAACATCTGGAGGGATTAAGATTTTTTTCTTTTTAAGGTTTTGAACCAGGATGTGAAAAAGGAAAATCCTCTTCAGTTTAAGTTCCGGGCAAAATTCTTCCCAGAAGATGTGGCAGAGGAAATTATCCAGGATATTACATTGGTGAGTTTATAGCAGAAGGAATTTTGGTTGAAGTTTGATGTAATCAGGACAATGTACGCTGTACAAAAACAGAGGTAGAGAATAACAGAAAGTAAAGGTTTCTTCTATTGTGTATTAAGTTAAAAACAAGCAAAAAATTGTGCAGGCTCTCAGTAGAGAATTTCATATTAATTAAAAAAATAGCCATTGAAATATAATGATATATTGGTCTCGCAGTTTATCTAACTGTAGAAAATTTTGTTTTAAAATAAAAAGAAATTGTGTCAACATGAAAAACATTTGTAGGAAGAAACTGCTATAATACATTTTGTTTTATACATCATAGACTAATTTTTGTCTTGCAAGTGTGAGAAGCTGTGATTTTCACAAAAATTATCCATCTATGATAAGAAAGGCTTTTTAATCTTGGATGGATAAATTATGTACTGTTTGTAAATAAAAATTAAAGTACATGTGAAATTTTGTCATATTTCAAGTGTGTGACTTTTTTATGTTCCTCATGATGGAAGTGGAGGGTCCTTGATAATATTTTGTGTATCACAAGTTGTTATTGCAGTCATAAAATTGTGTACAAATGCAGCTGAACTACTTTTCTGTGTTTATTTTATAATTCAGGTAATTTATTTAAACAAACTGACTTTGCTTGAAATTGACACATCCCTTTCAAAACTGCTTATGTGTTTGGAACAATTGATACATAGCATTAATTAAACTTTTATATCTCATGTATGTCACCATATTTGGAATTCAGTCACTTAACACTTAAATTATAATAATTATGAATCTGTTTGTCGTGGAGTTCTTTTTTAAATACTTTTATATTTTTCTTTATATAAAACCCACTGTGAAAGAGGTACATGCTATGATGTTAAACAATACACACACACACACACACACACACACACACACAGATGTAATCTTTGACCTAAAACCCACCTTTTGTTCATTCTTGTGCCTTAGTGCCACATAACTTTTATAACTTAAGTATATCTGTTTTGTTTGTGTTATTTATTTTACTAGGCAAGTAATTGTACCACAAAGATAAGATTGTAATCAGTATTTAGGTCAATTATTATCTCTACATGCCTACTTTTATTTATTCAGCAATGATACACAGAAAACACACAACAAGCCTGATATTGCTTTGTAAAGTACCCCACTTTGTTGGAATAACTACTGCTGTAAAATAACTTTTGTATACTTAAAACAAATATAAATATATAATATTTATCTTATTGCATCTTATTTATTTTTCGTTGATATGATATAATACTGTACCAGATTGACCTGTTGTAATTTAATGTCATTTAATTTGAATTGTGGTGTCCTTTGTTTTTTTTTTGTCACATGAAATTACTACAGAATATTTTGGTATACATTAAATTACTTAAAATGAAAATTGAATTGTATGTATGATACAAGCTGAAGGAAAACCATCTGCAACTTAATGATCTGAAAACATGTCCAAGTAGAAGCTTGATGTACTGTCCAAAGTTTAAAAATTGACAGTTTATTGAACAAGAAATTAATGGAGCTTCATGACAGATAGTTTCCAAGAAAGAAAGTAATCTAGGTTCCATGTAACTTGTTTTCCTTCAGCTTCAAAAGTGAAACTTATGTAAAGGGCAGTTATTGGAATTTTATTGTTCTTAATATTACTAGTTGAAATAATTACCATTTTGAAACTGTATATTCAAAAATTAAGCAAAAAAAAAAGTACTTGAAAGGTATAGGTTATTGATCTGGTTCATCCACTGAAAAGTTTTTATATAGGTAAGTGGGAAGTTTGAATAGTTTTGTTTCTCACCTAAAAAAATTGAGTAGCATAAATTAAACAATTAAGTTTACCAGTTTTTTATACTTTATCCCAAATAAATTATATTGTAACTTATATATAAAGAAAATGGCAACTCTGTATGTTTTAATAATATTTTTATTTTGTGGATGATTTCAAAGGGAAAGTCAGAGCATTTCAAAACTTGTGTTTTCTTATGTACTAGTGTGCAGAAATCATAAGAGGTTTAAAATACATGCTTTAAACTTAATATTATGCCAATTTTTATGGAGAATTCTCCAGCAAATGCTTAGAAACAAAATTGAAGGAGAAGCTAAAGATTTGTTACTTTACCTTGCAGAGACTGTTTTATCTTCAAGTGAAAAATGGAATCTTAAATGATGAAATTTACTGTCCACCGGAAACTTCAGTTTTATTAGCATCTTATGCTGTACAGGCTAAGTATGGTGACTACAGCTCAAATAACTATTCACCAGGAATGTTTGCAAATGACCGACTTCTTCCTCAGAGGTAAATCTTTGTGTTGTAGTTAATATAACTTTTTGTAATTAGTATCCATTTTCCAAGTGTTGGTGATATTTCAGAATTGTGCATGTGAATTTGCCATTTTTTTTTAGAGCAATGTTTTGAGTACAGTTTATAGTAAAGCATGCAGTCAAGAAACATCTCATATTATAAAGTAATCTTTTTGTAAACAAGTATAAAGTAAAATTAAACCTTATGAAAAAAGTGAGCTGGATTTCAATAAACAAAAGATTTTTGTTTTTAACCAAAAGGATTTTTATTTGATTAAGTTTAAAAAGTGTTCCTTAAACAATAATTAAGAAAATAAGAGGGAATTCAATTATAATTGATTAGTTTTTGTATTTAATTATTTAATTTTTTTCTCCAATAATGTTTTCTTGATCTAAAGAATATTGTAAAAACAAGTAAATACTTGATATATTTTAATTCTGTTTTGTTCTGTTAAACAGAGTTATTGACCAACATAAGTTGAGCAAAGAGATGTGGGAAGAGCGGATAGCAAATTGGTGGATGGAACACAAGGCAATGCCTAAGTATGCACTTATACTTGGTGATGTAAAATTATTCCCTAATAAAGTCATCATACCAGATTAATGAAATTAATTTTCATGTTAGAGATTGTTTGTATGTTTTAACATGAAGCTGAAACACTTTTGTAAATTATTTCTATTATTTTTTTATGTATTACAAAAAAAATTTGGATATCACATTTTAAGAAGGGGGGTGTTAAGAAAGAGTGGTTTTAGTTTTTGTTCTTGTCTGGACTTGTTTTCAACCTTTTATACACATCTGGTGAAATAAACTATTGTTGCTTTACAAAATTAGTGAGATTTCAGGGCCTGTTTTTCAGGAAGTATTCCAAAGTGTCTCAAGGGTGGTCTAGTTGGATGCACTTTGGTAGTTTGGGTTTGGCAATGTCAATTCTGTATTGTGGTTTTTTGTCTCAAACTACTGCTGGACAAAACATGGAGTAAAGTACTGAAAAAGTGCAGCATTATTATCATACTGTCAGGCACAACAAATTCTCATCTCCCTTAAATATTACTATTGTTATAAGTCTGTACCATCTAAATCACTCGTACCATAATTTACGCTCGTCGCGGCTCAAATTCTTCCATCTGAAACAAGCAGTAATTATTAAACATAATTGGTCCATTTATTGGTTTTCAGTTTGTTTCTCATCTTGCATTCAATGCTTAAGGCAACATGAAATACAATGCCTTGCATTTATCTGTACAAGGAACATTCTTTTTACACAATGGATTATTATCAATTTTAGTTCATAATAACAACCATATACCAAATGCAAATACAGGAAAGTTTTTGAATAGTTACTAGCTATCTAAATTTTCTCCACTAGTGTATTGATACATTCTTTTATCTTTCCTTTCAGCATTTTTAAAATCGTTCTCTTTCCATCTTTCTTTTCTCTATATTTCATCCAAAGTCCTTTGCATTTCTTTACACTCCAAGATGTGCTTCTTACCTTTTTTTTTTTTATGTCTTCTGCATTTCTGTTCTTCCTTGTTCTGTCCTGTGTGAATATTACCACATTTTAACCTTGTCCGTGTTGTAATATATTCGTCTCTTAATGTTTTTTTTTGACAAGATTATTCTTTATCATTTCATATTATGTACACTAGATCGATTATTCAGCTTCTTTCTAATTCTTCTGGATGTTTTATTCCACTTTTTTTTGCATTGCTTTGTAAATTTTCATTTGTATCTCTTGTGTCTGCTTTCAAGTTCTTTCTCTTTATGTTCACTCTAATTAATATCACTTTGTTACCAGAGTAATTTAGGGTTGTTTTTTGATAAGAGCAATGTGTAATGATTATTGTGTTGAAGAATTCCGAATCTTGCAGTAATACTTGATACTTTTTTTGGCAACGGTTCCTGTAGGACAACTAGATATCTTTTCTCATTTATCTGACTTGAATATGCACTTGCGTAACATGTTTTTACATTTTTGTTGTATTATAGTGTTGAAATAATTTTGTTCTGTGTACATGACAGAAAGCAAACTGCAAATTGCTTTGATGCAGTTATTGAGCACAAACATTTCAATCATTGAATAAATCTTTTGCTGCAGTCACAATGAATTATAAAGTCTGAAAACAGTATCTAGGTATTATTAAATGTCAATCAGCATCATATGCTGGTAAAATAATGTATTTATCCAAGAGGTAGTAATTTACAATATTTGATCTTTAGAGGACACACAAATGGACTAAAAAAAATAAATGTAATGTGTTGGAAATGTTTGTGTTTTTATGATTTGTGTAAAAACAAAACTTTACTAAACTAAGTTAAACTTTTACCATTTGTCTGGTTGAACAATCAAGAGGTTAGAACTACTTGTTTGAATCAGACTCTCACTTGACAAGATGATTGAGCAGCCATTAATATTAAGTTCTGAATAAGTTTAAATATTTTTCAATAAAGCAAAACGTTTGCATCATTAAAAGTGTAGGATACAGAATACGTGTTATTGGATTTAACATTTTCTTGACCTGTTTTTTTGTGTATTATCTAATACCAAGAACCATTTATGCACAGTGGAGCATTAGATATCACAAAGTGGTTTAATATGACATCCTAATAGGATTTTCTGTGAAAAAATTAGGTATTAAGCTAATATAAGATTAATGGTTAGCAGTCAACCATATCAATGAAACAAATGTGTGTGTCCTCACTAGTGTGATTTCAAAATGCCTAACATACAAAAGTTTGTGAATTTATTACGATGTATATATATATATATTTAGCACACTTATCAGGTAAACTTTTCAAATGTTTGTTGAATAATAAACTAAAACTAATAACAATTCACTTAGAGTTTTCTTTTGCAATATTTCTTTCAACATTGAAGGGAAGATGCTATGATGGAGTACTTGAAGATAGCTCAGGATCTGGAAATGTATGGGGTCAATTATTTTGAGATCAAGAACAAGAAAGGAACTGACCTATGGTTGGGTGTGGATGCCCTTGGTTTAAATATTTATGAGAAGGAAGATAAGTTAGTATCAAAGTGAAATAGTAATCCAAATGTTAGTAATTTGTTTACAGTGTGTGTTTGAGGGGGGGGGGTGTATTATGAATGGCCTACACTGTATTTTAGTGATAAATAAGATACTTATCCATATCAAATTTCATATGTTGTTGTGAATTATGTATTTCAGGCTGTTGGCTGTAATGATAAAATAAATAGATAAATAAATATAATACTTCTCTATTCTCATAATTCTTTTTATTTCTTGTAAATCTTTTTACAAATTTTACTGCTTTTAGGATTTTTTTGCAATTTCATGTGAAAGTCAGCGTAGTTAATTGTAACATTTCATTTGATTCAGTGAAACAATTTCTGTTAATATACATATGTATTAACTTTAATGATTTTAGAAAGATCTACTTGTACCAATTTCCACAATCTGGTTTGCTATTCGTATTTTTTCTGAAAAAAAAATTTTTTTTAGTTATAATGTTCAAATAGGTCTTATCCACATAAAAATCGTTTATTTAATTCATTTGGACTTTAGTGCAATGTTAAATTTTACATGAAAAGTTACTTACATTTTGTAAATTGTGCTATCTTTTAACTCAAAAACAACCCAAAACTTTCAATTTATGATTTCTTCTAGGCTAACTCCCAAAATTGGATTTCCATGGAGTGAAATACGAAATATTTCTTTCAATGATCGAAAATTTGTCATTAAACCTATAGACAAGAAGGCTCCAGTAAGTGTGGTTGTGCTTGATATAATGCTGTATTTATTATTTTTTTGATATGCTGAGAACAGTAAGAAGTAATATATAAAAATTAAAAACTTGCAATCAGTATCGTAATTAAAGTACTAACCATGGTATTTAAAGACTTGAGTAAAAGAAATGTATAATCATAAAGGGATTGTAAGTCTTCCTAAATCCATCTAATATCCAAAACTGTTATTCATTGTTGTTTAAAGAAAGTCTTGTGTTGTACAAATTTTAATAGGTTATTAATAGATATACATTGTCAAAGCATTAGCAATGTGATTAAAAAATCAAATAGCCATTCATTGTTCCAAACAAACTATATTTCAGTCCCGTGTCACTTATTAATTCATTAGTGTGTGTATGTTTCATGTAATTTTTGATGTAGCAATTTCTCAAAAATAAGATAACTCCATATTTTGCAACCTCAACAATTATTATTTTGAAGCAAAAAATTTGGTTAATAGGGTGTTAAATAAGAATTTTGTTATGCTATTAAGACAAACTTTTGTTTATATTGGAAATATATATATAATTATGAAATATTTAAAACAGGAAATGTTTACACATTTAAAGTCGTATAGTAAAGAATCATAAAAAATAAAAGAAATTAATCTCAGGATGCTGAAGTGGCTTTGGAAAATCCAAAATATACATAATAAAGCTAGAATGTCTTAAATAGCAAACACAACCTTCCTGTCATATTGAAAATAGACCTCACATCATGAATCTAGTCATGAAAAGTATAAGTCTTCAACTTATGAAAGATGAAAAAAAAAATTTAGCTACAAAAACAATAATGTTGTCTATTGGCATATTTGTATAGGAGATTTTCAGTTTTTATTTTGATACTTAAAACTATTTTCCATCCTGAACTGAAGTTGTAACCCAAGTAATAGCAGGAGCAGCAATGTTATAGACCAGTGCCGAGCATCGCTGTTAAATGTATTGCTACATTATTATGTAATTTTGTAAGTATTCCAATCATATGAAAGTTCTTAAGGAATTTTGCAACTTTTAAAAACAATGAAGTATGTTTAAAAAAAAGTCCTCGTGAAAATATGAATGATTTTATTTGTTAATTTTGGATCAAAATTTTTCTCACAGGACTTTGTTTTCTTTGCTCCTCGGTTGAGAATCAACAAAAGAATCCTTGCTCTTTGTATGGGAAATCATGAATTGTACATGCGTCGACGCAAGCCAGATACGATTGAGGTTCAACAAATGAAGGCCCAGGCACGGGAAGAGAGGCTATCTAAACAGCAAGAGAGGTAAATATGTTTAATAGGTAGTGCAATTATCTATTGATAATCTGTTCATGATTAACTCTGCACGGCTCGGTCAAATTGACCAACCATGTGACCACTTTGTACTTGTTATAGTTTCGATTCTACTGACTTTTAATATAGTGAATGTATCTTCACAAAACATTCAGTAAACATTACAAGTCTTTTACATACAAAAAATCAGAATTTTTAGTGAAGTAATTTTAATAAAGATTTGTCTGTGAAAATATCGAGTCTTTTTTAACTAGTCTTGAGTGCAAAGTGATTTTCTTGTTAAGATTAAAAGTACTTTTCTTCATCTCAAAAATCTCAAATTTGATTCTAATCTCTATACCCTTCTAAATACATTTCATACGTTTTTTCAGGAAAACATTGTTTTATCTGTTATTTTCTCTACCCTAATTCTACACAAGGTTGGTCAATTTGACTGACCTTGTAACATCACCAAAAAATAATGGAAATAAAACTAAATTACCCTTTTTTTCTTTCTAGAAAGCCTTCAAATTGTAACATGAAACTACATTTGTTTATCCTAAGTAGCTTTAAACTTGTAGCAGTTTACATCCTTTTAAATTTAAATTTGTTTTCTTTATAGCCCTTTGAACTATTTCTAACTAATATTCATGTCGTTATAAATTGTGAATCACTTGGGGAATGTGTGGGTCATTTTACACCATCGAATAACATTACTCATGAGCTACTCCGAGCTCCTCGCGTGCTTGCCTCATGAAATATTTTTTGTATATTATTATTATTGTTTATTTTACCTATAATCTAACCTTAACTAACCTAAAGAGATCTCTATTTTTATATTTTAGTTACTTTTATAATAATAAATAAGAAATAAAGTTCTTACCCAAGTTTTTTTTTATTGCTGTCGCCTATCGATGATACTTAACCCTACCTTTTTATACTAATGGTAGTAGTGTACTAAATAATTTTTATTTAATTAAATAATGCATCAGAGAACATAGGATAATAACATGCAAAAAGCAGACAATGTCCCACAACTATCACAATTGTTTTGGCTTTCTAACTATACGACAAGAGCCATTACAAATTTATCCGAACTAGTCGATATGTTTCTTGTGGGAACGAAGCTCGTACTGAAAGAGAAATTGACAATTTTCTGTACAGAAGACAGTGTGATATAATATGACATTTGATAGATGAAAACCTTGGCTTTCAATTGGTTATAAATAATATACTATTAAATTTAAGAGAGAACTATTAAAAAATCCTGAAATAGGGGATGTGACGGGTGGGTGTGTCAAGAAAGGTCTGATTTTCTATTTGATGGCTCTGTAACCAAACAGAATTGAAAGCTATAAAAATCACCATTTGCCTGAGCAATGATGATATTATAGTGAATAATTTTATGAATTTATGTTAAATTTTGTACTTCTTGGAGGGGTGGTAATGGTAAGTAAATTAGATAAGAGGGGATGCCGAGAGAAAAAACCATTTCTCACACTAGGAGAAATTCAGGATTTTATTTTTAATATTGCCTTATAGAACTAAGAACTCAAACTTGTATACTGTTAAAATATGGATTATTAGCTATGATTTTATGCTATACTAGTTGGTATAACATGAACAAAAAGTAGTTTAGTTACATTTTGAATGTAACTCACTAAAAACCTTGTGACACACAATAAATGATGCCTATGGTGAGAGGTTTAATAAGAAAGTGTAGTGTCATTACATTATCATTATGAAGCAGGTCATTTTTATCTTTGTTTATGGAATATAGGGTTGATATTTTAGTATTATTCACTATGCCTGATTTGTTAAACTATGTTGATTTTATGCATTGAGGTTTTTGTTTTTCTATGATGTTGTCAACACCATGTCACCATGAGAAATATCACACCTAACATTAGTTTTTATATTTTCATTTAATTTTTTTACATATTTTAATTGATGACCTACATATTTTCAGAGAAATTGATTACTTTTCTAATGGTTTAGAAATTATATGTTAATCTGTAGTATATAGATTAGGTTTTGATCTTTATACCTGTCAACATGTGTGATTAATTTCTTTCAGATTTGAATTATATCAGTATTTAAAAAAAATCTGTGTTCTGACTTTAAGGATTTGCAAGATTATATAGTTTTCAAAGTTGGATAATAAGTATATTTAAATACTAGATGTACTTGCATAACTCTTTCAGAATGAGCATAATTTCTTGTGCATGTCAGGAGGTTTTAGTGAGTTACATTCAAAACTTAAACTACTTTCTTATCATGGTATGCAAATAAACTTGGCATAAAACCATAGCTAATAATTCAAATTTTTATAATATATAAGTTTTAAGTTCTTAATTTTAAAAGGCAATATTTAAAAAAAAACTCAATTTTCCCTTGTGTAGAATTCTGATGTTTGCTTTCAAGGTATTCCCTTTGCAACTTAGTTACTATCTCCTTAAGAAGTATAAATTTATTCATTATAATGTTGTCATTGCTCAGGCAAAGCATAATCTTTATAGCCTTGAATCTCAATTGGTTACATAGCCATCAAATAAAAAAATCAGACCCAACTTGTTGTGCCCATTTGTCACATCCTCTCCTTCAGAAATTGCCAATAGTTCTCTCTGACATTTAATACTATATTATCTATAACCATTTATATCAAATGGTGTATTATATTACACTGTTTTCTGTACAGAGAATTGCTTATTTTGCTTCCAGTTCAAACTTTATTCCAATGGGAAACATGGCAGTGAACTTAGCTGAATGTCTGATTTCTCTTGACAGAGTTAGAAAAATTGTGATAGTTATGGGACATTGTCTGCTTTTTGCATGTTGTTATTCTGTGGAGTAGTACCACTTGTATTAAAAAAAAGAAAGAAAAAAGTTTGCTTACGTTTTATAAACAATTGACAGAAAAACATTAGACCCAGGTAAGTACTTTATTTCTTGTTTTTCTTGTGTTTTCTTTATTCATTGTTATAAAAGTAACTAAATTGTAAAAATTAGAAACTTTTAGGTAAAATAAAAGATAGTAATAATAATAATAATATTTAATGAGTTATGTTTGCAAGCAACTTTTGAGTAGCTCATGCATTCATGTAATTTGATAGGTTAACTTGAGCTGCACATTTGCCCAATCATTTGCAAATTTTGTGGTGGGAATATCAGTTAGTCATGGTTCAAAGGGGAATAAAACAATAAAATTTATATATAAACAGATTTATACTGTTATGAGTTTCAAGCTACTTGGGAAAAACAAATGTAGTTTCATGTTACAATTTGAAGTAATTGTAGAAAGAAAAAAATATTATTTAGATTTTTTTTCTAATTATATTTTGGTGGTTATGAGGTTGGTTAAACTGACCAACCTCATATAGAGTTAGGGTAGAAAAATAACACATGAAATATGAAGTTTTACTAAAAAAACGTTTAAATTTATTTTGGAGGTTTTAGAGATTATGCAAATGAAATCTGAGATTCTTCAGATGAAGCAAAGTATTTTTAATGTTAACATGAGAATCACTTTGCACTCAGAGCAATCAACACTGATTTCATGTAGTCACAGAGAAAGTTTTGGTGAAAATACTTGATTAAAATTCTGATTTTTTAATCTGCAAATGAATTAATAATTACCAAAAATTTGCAAAATTTCATAAAGATACACAAAACATATGAAAAGCTATAGTATGGAAACTATAAAGACCAAATTGGGGTCATGAACTTGGTTGAGTGAACTGAGCCTGTAGCAAGAGAGTTAAGGTAATTAAGAGTGATTAATATTATGTGGTATTGTGTTTAATGTTTAATGATATCTTACTGCTGCTGAACTTATGGCACTTTATTGTTCATTATTGAGATGTCACAATTTCAAAATAGACTATAGATATAAAAGTTAACATCCTTTAACATCCATTAAATGCACCCAGTAACATTGTGTAGTTGACATTCAATATTTTACCAATGGACCAAATGACCCTATCAATCAGGAATAAAATTGGACGTCTGACCTGGAAGCCTCATGTCAGCGTTTTTGTCTCTCATACTAAATGCAGAAAAGCAGCATTGGCATTTGAAGTGTTTATATTTTATTGATAGAGAAAAGCTGCGAAAAGAGATAGAAGCCAGAGAAATGGCTGAAAAGAAACAGCAAGAGTATGCAGAAAGACTGAAACAAATGCAGGAAGATATGGAAAGGAGACAAAGAGGTGTGTTTGCTTGAAAAGCAGTAAAACCATAGACTTTTAATATTGAATACATGGATGTTGGAAAAAAAACTGTACATTTTTCTTTCTCATTCGAAGGTAATTTATTAAAGTTCTATTTTGTTAAATCTTACCATAATAGTTCTCTTCAACATCAAATAAATAAATGTAATTTTTATGTGCAAATTAAATTTATCTAAAACATGCATTTAATCAAGACTACCTAGCTTTTTCAAGTTTATAATAAATTATGTTTAGATTTTATACTACATTAAAATGCACTAAATGTGCAGCAATATATGGAAGTGTGAAAGAAAGGTATCTTGTACTGATAAATCATCATAAAATAATTTCAAACTCAGAAAAGAAATCATTTTTGTGTGTATTATTTCAGTAAGGTAGGACAGCAGATGTGATATGACTCTCAGAATCTTTTTGAAAGTAGGTAAAAAAAAGAGGTTTAGTTTAAGTATTCAAATTATTTAATGCCATATAATAACAAGAAGCTTTGTAACATCAAGTTATACGTGTGATAGACAACATTCCAGGAAAATGAAATGTGTTCATTACATAAATTCTTCACAGAATTGGCCGAAGCCCAAGAAACCATCAGAAGACTAGAGGAGCAGTTACGTCAGCTTCAAGCAGCAAAAGAGGAACTAGAAATGAAACAAAATGAACTGGAAGAAATGATGCATAAACTAGAGGAGGACAAAGCCATGGAGGCAGAAGAGAAAGCAAAACTTGTACGTTTTTAAATTATTATTATTTTTTAATTTTGTGAGATAATGAAATAACTTTGAAAATTGCAATGGCCAAGTAGAAACACAAGTTTTAAAAGTATTATTAACATAAAAAAATTTACTTACTCTAGTCGTGGATTTTTGAACAGTTTTGCCAGGACTCGTTGATAGTTTGTTAGTTACTATGTTTTCTTGATTTTTCTGAACTACTGTCTGTCTCACTTCACTTGTATGATATTTTGTTACAGTCTTAAGGTTCTGAGCTGTACATAATGACTTTCTGGTAACATTCACTGAATAGCTTGAATGACTGCATCTTTGAACAGGAAGAGGCAATCCGAGCTAAGCAAGAAGAAGTACAGCTGATTCAGGAAGAGGTTTCTCAGAAAGATGAGGAGACCAGAAGACTGCAGGAGGAAGTAGAAGAAGCTCGAAAACGTCAGGAAGAAGCTGCTGCTGCCCTGACAGCTGCTACTACAACTCCTCAACATCACCACCTTCAGGAAAATGAACATGATGAGAATGATGATCTGACCAATGGAGAAATCGGTAGAGTATTGGGGTGGGGTGTGGCTAATATTTCATCACTATTACTAGAAATATATCTAATGAAAGACAACTATAAAGATTATACTGATAAACATACACTGGGCATATGTGAAAAATGTACCCTTAAAGTCATGATAATTTAACCCTTTTGCTATGGGGCCCCTACAATTTGCGGGGTGCTGTATTGGGAATTTCACTTGTACAACAATACATACTGTAACTCTCAGACTTCTTAATCTATCCTCTCAAGAACTAGTAAGATTTCAGTAAAGATTATAGGTATCTTGTACACAAAGAATGACATTATTTTAATAAAAATATGTTATATATCTGTTGTAGTTATTTGTACTCAAACTCTTAACTCATTTCTTACGATGACTGTTTTCTGAGCAGGTCACGAGATTTTACTTAGTTACTTTTGAAACTTAATTAATCTATTTTATGATCAATGTTTGTCAGTGAAATCAGCCTTAAAATTTACATTATAGTTCAATGTTTTGTATGATCTAAGTTTAATTCCTTTATTTCAAAAGAAATCTTAAGAAAAATTCTTAGTTTTGTTTTATTCTCTCGTAATCTGCAAGTTCAGAAAATGTCAAATTTGTGTCTTTGTAGTTTTAACAGTGCTTGACTCGTGCTAGCCTTCTATATACAGAAAGAATCTAGGTTAATTGCTCTGTTTACATATTTTTCTTTCAAGTTCCATACGGCACAGGAGAATTAAATTTCTCTGAACTTTATAGATGCTACGGCCACTTTCTACCATTGGCTTTCTAGCCAGTTATACTTAGTTGAGCTCGATGGTTATAACCAATGGAAAGAGTGCTTTTTGAAGTACGTTCTCTTAACTGTTATTTTAAAATTGGTGTGAAGAATTGTGTAGAGAACTAGTCAAACCACTCTTAGCATTGTTGCTATTTTGTCTCCACCTAGAAATACATTAGTTAGATAGACAATTGCATTGTAGTTAGGTTTGTTTTATATTTCATGTAATTAATTGACATTTGTTTTAAAATGCGCACTTGAAATAAAATTTTTTTTCTTAAATATATATATAGGCCAATATCTGCTTGGTTCACAAGAGATAATGTAATACACAAACGCTACCACATTCTGCCGAGGGCTGAAGTTTCTCTTGCCCACTATATGGTAATATTGGCCCAAGGACACCCATTGATATGTATTGCAATAAATAACAACGATGAAGGACAGGAAAGGATAATAAATTATTAAAATAAATTATATGTAAAAACATAAAGACATGCATAAAAAGATATTTTAAGATTATTTCACCAAATATTAAAAGGTATCTACATTTTTTCCTGTGTTTTAATTTTACACATTTCATTGTTATGTACTATAAGCTATATGGTATAAGTTGACAATAATAGCTACAGTTTGTAATATTGTAGAGAAAAATAAACAAAATATTTAACTTAAATTTTAAAAGAACTTTTGGAGGTTCTAAGGGTTATGCGAATGAAATTTGAAAACTATAAGTTGGGAAAAAGTATATTTTTATACTCGTGTTGTTTTGTTGGTTATGCGAGAGGCTACATGGTTAAATTCCCATAAAAATAGCTAATAAATCACGTTCAAGGTGATTTTCATTTTAAGTATAAAAGTACTTCATCTTATAGTTTTTATATTTCTTTTTCATTACTTCTAGAACCTCCTAAATGAATGTCAGAAGTTTATTTAAGGTGAATGTTTATATTTTATTTTTCATTTCCTCCACCACATCATTAACTGTAGATATCATCAACATAAAGTGCAATGAAATGTTTAAAAATTAAGAAATAGAAAAAAATGTATGTACCTTTTGTTTTTGTAGAATATCTTAAAAGATCTTTAGATTATATTTGTAATTTCAGGTCTTTTTCTGTTCACATATAGTTAATGTTTGATGTTTTATTTGTTTTTCCTTTCCTTTGTTATTCATCTTTGCACAAGTTAATGGTGCCCTCTGGGTGCAATTACAGTATTTTGAGCAGAGATGCACAAGCCATTGGCAAAATGATCTTACCCTTGTGCAAGATCTTAAGCCTTGAAAACTGACACAAAGTATGTTTTATATTTAAAAAATGTTTAAACCTTTCAATTATGCATTTTAACCCTTTCAAAACTGGTGAGAGGTGAAAGGCCATGTCATCTCGTTTGTTGCCTTGCATTCAAAATTTTATTGAACTACTATTTCATGAATTTATGTCGATAAGTTTGGTATCAAACTGTAGACTATAATTGAAATTTTAGTACTGTACATTACTTAATTTCTTAATTTAAAAGTGAGTATTAAAAAACACAGATAAACATCGATTTTTGTGTGTCACATGGTATGTTGAATGCAACACTGGTTCAAATTTGACGTTTCTGATGTCAAAACACTGCGTCTGTAGTTTCGTGTGAATTAGGAACTCAAATTAGCGATATTGACAAGCTAGAATATAAAATAAGAATCTCTTATCTTTTCTATTTGCTAAGATATTGCTCATGTAATAACTCAAACACAGAGGCACCTCACCCACCTCTTTCCATTTTTTGGAAATGCTCCCTTATATACATATACTTCTATATATGACATGAATAAACAATTGAAAGGATGTGTCTTTAGTCTGTTCGAAATTTAATATTTTTTTAGACTTAAAATACAGCTTAGTTATTAAGCTTGATAAATTATAGTGGAATTTTATGGTATTGATGTAGTAATTTATGATTTTTTTTAGTTATTCAAATGTATTTATAAAACCTAAAAAATTTAGGTGCAAAATTTTTAATGGCTTAGTAACCTATGTCAAGCAGCAACTGAGTACAAAGGTCGTAACTAGAAGAGATAATTGTTTGCTTTTACTGCTTTATTTACTCTTTTGTGTTTTAAGAAAAATAAGCTTAAGAGCTTATTTGTAAATAGTAATAATGTATATACATATATAATGTATAATAACTGAAATGTGACTGTACTTTACAAAGTACCAGTCTACTAAAACACAGCCAAAACAGGTCACTTTGTAAAGACCAAAGATCATTTTATGTTATTGGATATGGTAACATGAGTCCACATGTGCCATGTCATTGTAATTTCTGTATTGTTAGCCAGGCACAGCTGCAAGGTCAATATGATAAAAATAATATATATATATATATATATATAAATGTATAATATTATGAGATTTAAGCTCTTTAGTCTTAACATTTATGTTTTCATGTTATAATTTGTGTTCATTTTGGAATGAAAGAGGCATAATTTATATTTATTTCCTATTTTTTTATGGCATTTACGAGATTGGTCAAATCTACCGAACCCGTATAGAAATTAATTACTGAAAATAATAAGTATAAAGTTTTTGCTTAAGAAACGTTTGATAACTAACTGGACATTATAAAGATTTCACATGTGAAATTTGAAAATTTTCTGATGAATAATAGTAGTTTTTATCTTAAAATGAAAATTACTTTGCATGTTAGATAGGCTTTACAAACCTTAAGACTTAATAAAAAAAAAAAAGATATTTTGCATATGAAAACATTGTAATGTTTACTGCTAAACTGCCAAATTTTGTTAACATTTGCATACTAATTTAAAAGTTATAGCATGAAAACTATAACAAGCATAAAATGATTACAAGGTCGGTCCCAGGGACCTAACCCATGCTGAAAGAGGACCTTCCCACAGTGAAAGGGTTAACTGCCAGTTTTATTGAGTGCCTTTATAGAGAACGAGACTAAAGACAGGGCACTTAGTCAGGAATATCAGGGTGCCTGTTCTTGCAAGATTGATTTTGGTTACAAATAGTAGAAAAATGAAAGAGACTGAAAAGGTTTGCCCTTAATTAATTTTCCTGGCATGATTGAGTTATAGCCTGAATCTTTTGATAAGCAGTTTTTTTTAAAAAAAGATTGAATTTATGATTGACTTTGGTTAAGATGTTTAAGTAATTTGAATGAATAGCTATATCACTTTCATCTAAGTTCTGTTCTAGTGGCCTGGCATGACCATGTGGTTAGCGTGCTTGACTTGTAATCTGCAGGTAGCAGGTTTGGAATCCTCGCTCCACGAACCATGCTTGACCTTTTAGTCATGGGGACATTATAATGTGATGGCCAATACCACTATTTATTGGTAAAAGAGTACCCCAAGATTTGGCAGTGGGTGTTGATAACTAGCTGCCTTCCCTCTAGTCTTTTGCTGCTAAATTAGGGACGGATAGTGCAGATAGCCGTTGTTTAGCTTTTCACGAAATTCATAAACCCAAACAAACTGTCCAAGCATGATCAGTCTAATAAATATTGACATTTGTATGTTTGATCTAGTAGACACTAATATTTGTTTATCTGAACTAGTAGTTGAGTAGATGTGACAAGGATAAGTATATTCTTAAATTACAGTTGCAGTTTTGAATGATGTCTTATGGTGAGGTCAGTGGTAATTTCATGGACTTGTAATGCTAAAGTCTGAGATCCTATTCCTCATTGTGGATAGAGTTCACGTATCTAATTGTGTAGCTTTGCACTAAAAAGATATTCAGTGATTAAACTGTCTTGTAAAAACTAAAAATGACATTATGGCTTTAAAAAAACAGCTTACATCTTAACCACATGTGTATATTTATAGGTATATGATATTAGAGCTGTGAACAAATGTGTGTAGTTTATTTTATATACAATACTTTTTTCCCCCATTGTAATACAATATTATAGAGACAGTTAATTTAAGAACATCATATTTCATTTGGAGTTCTGTTTATTTTGATGATAATTTAGTGTGTGTTTTTTATAATACTACTGGAGAATATGTTTATATTGAAGTTTTTCTGGTATTATCATGTTCTGTATGTAGGAATTTGAAAGTGATTTCATGATCATGATATTTTAAGATCTTATCAAGATTTTCCTTTAATAATATTTCTATGAAACTGACTAGTTAAAATAAAGAATCTGTAAACATTTTTATTATAAACTTTACACTAAAATCATTAAAAGTGTCGAAGAAAAAAGCAGATTGATAGTCTGCTCTGAAATGGATAGTCTTTGATATTCTGTAACCTGAAACTTTGCTTTGAATTTGTAAAGATGGTAGAAACATCATCTGCATATATTTTAGTGCTATGAATGTTTAAAAATTAACAGACTTTCTTAGCCATGGTTTCATGAAAGGAAGAGAAAAAAAATGAGCTTATGTTTAGTCTGTAATTACACCACACATTTGATGATAAAGAATTTAATTTATTTATTAAAAGAACAAAGAGAGAGAGAGAGAGATTCCTTGGTATAAAATGTGATGAGTTTTAAACAAATTTAGGGAACCATGTATAATTTTTATCATAATTATGTGTGTGTGTGTGTGTGTGTGTGTATATATATATATATATAAATGTATGGCCTTTTTTAGACTGAAATTTGTTTACAGAGATTTTGTATCTGAACTTAAAGTAAACCTTTTACAATATTTTAAATTTTATTTTACTTTAAAAAGTTAAAAAAATTTCCTTCAGAGTATACTCATTATGGATAATCTTTTTCAAGTATTTGAACAGTAAATATTGCAAGAAAGTTGTTCTAAGTGCTAATTAAAATCTTAGAATCATAAATCACCTTTGAATATCTATGTAAAAACTTGAGAAAGTGATAATTATTGGATAAAATTGAGTTTTTGGGTTATTATAACTGACATTGTAAAGAAACAAGAATCAACCTAATAACTAAAAACCACCTAAATGTGCAGTTTTTCTTTGTATTGGAAAACTTGTACCATATTTAAAAAAAAAAGCAAAATCTTATCCATACAGTTCATCTACACATAAGATGTATTTTCAGTGAAATAACAAATAGTACTGTAGAAAATAAAATGTAATATATCAGGCTATGAGTCCGTGTTATTTGCATTGCTCTACTGGTTCCATCACAAGGTGTAAATGAACCTCTAAGTATCAAGAAACTTAATATCACACTTAGTGTACTGAAGTACCTTAAGTTTTGTATAACTGTATATTCAAATTGTTTTAAGATATTATCCATGTTCAACATAGTCTCTGTACAAAAGTTTTCTTATCAACAGAATGAGACGACAGCTCGGTTCTAGTTAGCAGCTAGAAATTAGTGTGCTACTTGAAAAGGTGGCAACTAGGTGAAGTTACATTTTAGGTTTTATATGATTCAATAAGTAATGCGTATTTTGTGCTAAGTGTGTGCTCTTGTTAGGTTCCTGTTTACACATGCACACACTTATGTGTGTACTGTATCTGAGGTTACTACTCAATGTCAGTATAAACAGTTAATCTAACAGGTGAAAAATGAGTTTAACATTTTAATGTTCAATTGTTCCTTTTTCTCATGGGTAATGTTTTAGTTGATGGTATAAAGAACTTAATTTGCCCTTTTTCCGATGCAATTTTTATATTTTACTGAATAAAATTAATTATAAAATTTATTAAAAGTGATACTGAGCAATTTTCTGTATTTAAACACGTAACAAAACATAGATTTTTAATTATGGAACTTGTATGAAGTGAGTAACACATACAGTGGATTGAAAGGTCAAGTTAATGAACTAAAGTTTCAACATGCAGGTGCTGAGTTCTCTATGGATGACAACATTGTCTTATCTCGTCCTGAAGAAGATAGAATAACACAGGTGTCCAAAGAAAAACACTTGCAGGACCAACTTAAGGTAGATTTACTGGGATTTAAATATTGGAAATTAAACTTACTGACTTTGTATGGTCTATATTGGGATTGTATTATTGCAGAGTTTGATCTGATTTCACACTTATTCTGGCAAGATGACCCACTTAACAAACTATTCAGTTATTTCTTATAGTTGTATAAAATTGATAAGTTTTAGGCGGGTGGTATGTCTGTGTAATTTACCTTTTACATAATTAACCCATATTTTATCTCTAAATTTTAATATTTTTATTTTTTGTACTTCTGTTAAGTTGCAGCTTTATTTAATGCTTGCCATCTGTTACTTTCATTAGCAATAGTCTCTGGATGTTTCCAGCATTCCAACGTTTTTGAATTCATAGTTTCTCGTCAGAATATTTATTAAATTGAGAAAAACACAGGGAAGATTAGAACTAATGATTGTTGAAATAGAGTTTGCACAGCCATGGATTTTTGGTAACGGAGTTTTCAGTACTGGAAGTCCTAGAAAATTGATGGTTTTTACAGAGAATTCTGGAAAAGTCCTTTAAAGTCAACCCCATGTTCTTTTGTTTTTACTGAGAACAATTCATACCATTGTGTTTATCTCAGTTTCAATAAAAAAATGATCTCTAGGAAATGCGACTCATTACTAGTAAAATGGGAAACTTGCCAAATTGGAATCACTGACCAATAACAGGCTTTGAATTCTGCACCTCCATCTACAAGTAAACAGATGTCATGTGACTATTGTTGGAGTGATATTGTTAGCATAAGCTCAAGACTCTTTTAACAGAAATATAAAATAATAAAGTTGTTGATAGGATAAAAATGGATATTTTAGAATTTTCCTAATTCTTTCTTCAGCATAAACACTTCAAAAATAATTAACAACATTTTTAGCCAAAGCTATTGGCTAAAAATTTACAGAGGGAAATGCAAATCCAAATGACAAAAATATAATAGAATGAACTTGAACCTGAATATGTTGTGTTTTATTAATGCAGTGATTGATCTAGGCCTGGATATATAAAGTGACATTTTGGGAGCCATTACTAAATATCTGGGGAGATTCTTTCATTTTCAAAGGATTGTCAAAATTGTAAATAGATTATTGTAATGTATGTCTCTATGCTAATTTTTTTTTCAGACCTAAAATGAACAAAATTCTTAAAAACTTCTTCATTATTTAACTTGTAATCACTTACACTTGATAGCACCCCTGAAAACAATAGAATTATTCAGAAATATTGTCTTAAGTATTATTTAAATATGGATATGGATTTATTGTACAAAATGTTCAGGGCTGAACAACACAGTGAAACATAAATGTTTGATTGACCTACAAGATTTCCAATTCTTTGAAATGTTCTATGTTGGATGGAATTGCGAGTGTAAACTGAGAAAACATTTAAAAATTATGTGGGAAATCGTATTAATGCATGTATCAATATGAGATATTCTCTGGAACAGTATGAGAGTAAAGCTTTACTTTGTTGATTTGATGATGTATGATGCTGTATGTTTAGCAGCCAATCCAGGTACAAGTTGACTTCTCCTACTGGAAAGTTGAAATAATATGTACAATAAATATCATTTGGTGATAGTTATACACTAGAAGAGTTTTTGGCTCCAGTCAAAGCACAGTATTTGGGAGAAGTATACAAGGCTTTATCACTTGTTAAACTGAAGGTGGAAACATTGAAATATACTTAGGGGACTGTAACTGACAAAATTCGTTAGTGCCTTGTCGAGTAATGCATGGTTATTTAAAATTTATTTTAATGGATTTTTTTTTGTTTTTGCTTGAATGAGTATTTTTCTGATAAGCTCATATGCTACTATTATTGCTAGATTGTTCTGTACAGCTGTTACTGCATATTTTATGTAAAATATAATAAATATTTAGATATTTAACTGAATGTGCATGGGGTTGGTCCATTGGACTGATCCGGTATTGGGTAAGGAATGTTGATTGTAATTCTGAATTTACTACATGTGCCTTAATGTGGCAGACTTTTCGTAAAATGTACAAATCTGTCATACAAAAAAAATTAGATATTTTAAGTATTTTTATTAAAGATCTGTATTTAAATTTTGTCTATCAATATATTCAAATATTCAACTCAATTTGAATATTGCTTTTGCACAATCTCTAGAATCTCAAAAATGGGCATCTACAGTTTTTTTTCAGTGTTTCTTTGTGTTGTATCTGGTATTTACTCTCCTTTAACACGAACTGTTGCTAAATCAGCTGTGTAGAGTAAAATGGATAGTTGATAACTCTGACATCAAATATATAATTCCATGTTGAATGGCACTCTGTAGAAAGTTATGGCATACACAGTTTGATCTCTCACCTTTGCTTAATGGATTAATTTGGTAGTTAGCATTCTGTTAAAATCAGTAGATTAGGTTCTGGAAGGTCATGGAATTTTTTTATCATAATCCCGTGCAAACCATGTTGAATAATTAGGCCTAAGCTTATCTTAATGTGAATATCATTGTTTGATGTTAAATATGTTTTTATATTTTGGGCAACAACTCATGCTTTACCTTCTGAAATTGTTTGATAATTATTTAGAAAGTACAGCTTAAACTTTTTAGATTTTTTGGAATGTATATTGTAAAATGTCAGCTATTAACAGACTTACTCTTTGCTAAATGTTATTTAAATAGGAATTAAACAGAGAATTAGCTGAATCCAAGGATGAAACAAAACTGACCAGAAATGATCTGCTGCACCAAGAGAATGTTCGACAGGGTAGGGATAAGTACAAAACACTACGTGAAATTCGCAAGGGGAACACCAAACGAAGAGTGGACCAATTTGAGAATTTGTGAATCATGCAGAACAGTTTCAAACTGGTCATAACCTTTCTTCAGCAAAACTGGACTTAGTGCCTCATTCTTTCCTCTTGTCCGTTATCCAAAACTTCTTTTGTTGTTTAATTCAAAGGGAGGCATTCCTTATATAGAATTGTTGCTATGTATCAATACAGTCTATTAAATGAAGAAATGTTTTTGTAACTTACTGTGTATTGAAAACTGTAGTTACTCTTGATCTTTGTAATACCAGAAACTTATTTTACTAATTGGATTTTCTATATATATGTGATAAGCATAACTTTATTAAGCATGCATAAATATCAGACAGGATACCACCAGAATATTTGTTAGATCTGTTCTAATTTAAGTAAATTGATACAAGCTAGAGTCTTATCATGTCTCTGATGTGCAGTTTTCTTATTTTCTTTTTCAGCTGTAAGTTGTTTAGTAGGCAGTTTTTTTGGAAAGAAACAAAAAAAATCAAAACAACACAAAAGTTCTCTTGGTATAATGAACTATGAAATCTGTCTGTATTTGTGTTGGCATTGTATTGTTGAAGAATAAAAAAAAAAAGATTAGCTCTGAAAGGTCATTTATTTTTTGTTCACAAACCTAATAGAGAACTGAGAAAAATGGTAAGAGTTTTAGTAAAAATTTTATACTTAACATTGACTAATAAATTAGGAATCTTTTTTTATTTATACTAAC